ATTAATAATTATTATTTTAGGCTTTTATATAATATTATAATTCTTAAAAATAAAATAAAAGATAAAGAATTAATTTTTTTTATTATAATTAAATGTTTTTTAAAAAGTAAAAAATAAAAAAGTTTTTTATTTCTTGTATTTTATATAATAAAATATATATAAATTATTAAGAAAAGTTATTAATTAAAGAAATTATTATAGTTATATATTATATTCTTATATAGTAAAATAGCTAATAAGGCTTTTAATTTTATTATTATATCTTTTAATTTATTTATTTATATAATAAAGCTATTTCCTTATATATATATATATATATATATATATTAGTTTAAATAACTTATAATAGAAATTTAAATATTAAAAGAAATATAATTAAATAAAGTTATTAATTAAAGAGTATTTTATATAATAATTCTATTCTTTTTTTAAACTTTAAAATAAGAAAATATAATTTTACTTTTATAAGCTCGATTTATAATTTAATAAAAATATATAACTTTAGTTATTTAATAAAAATAAAAAAACAAGATTTATATAATAATTAAATAAATTAAAGCTTTAATAATAATTCTTATATTAAAACAAGCTATATAAACTTTATTATTAAACTCTTTTATTTTATTACTTTTCTTAATTCAAATTTATATTAAAGTTATTTAAATTATTTATTTATAATAATTTAGCTTTTACTTTTAGCTTTTAATATAATAATCCGCTTATAATAATACTAGCTAAAGTTATATAAAAGTAATTAATACTTAACTAGTTTTATTTAGAAAGCTAGTATTTTAGTAATATTAGTTAATAGTTTTTTTCTTTTACTTTCTTTTTCTCTTTCTTTTTTTCTTTCTTCTTTTTCTTTCTCTCTTCTCTTTTCTTTCTTTTACTCTTTTTTTTCTTTTTCTTTTTCTCTTTAGATTTATTTTTTATAAAATAGAAATAGAAATCTTTAAGCTTTAATTACTATTCTAGCTTTATTATTATATTATATAAAACTTATTTAACTCGGCTTATAAAAGAAATATAATATTTTTAATAAAAACTTGTATTTATTTTTTAAAAAATAAAGATAAAATACTATTCTTAATATTTAGTAATTTTCTAGAACTTAAAAGAAAAAGAAATAACTTATATCTTTATAATCTAGTTAATTTCGAAGTTTAATATTTAACTAGAGTAAATAATACTTTCTTAATATTAATAAAAATAAAAGAACCGGTATTTCCTTTTCCTTTAATAATTAGTAGTTTTTAATTTGAAATAAGAGATATAATAATTAATTTCGGGTTCCTGATTTAAAATAAAAGAAATTATTTAAATAAGATTATCCGGTTAATTTTTTATTAGTAAATAACTTTTAGATTATTTTATACTAGCAAATTGCCTTCTAGCTATATATAATATCCTCTAACTAATTCTATTTTAAGAAAACAATATTCTTTTACTAATAATTTGTTTTCTTTTACTAATAAGAGAAATGAGAAGTCAGGCTCTAAATCAGGCTTTAAGAAAATTGAAAGCTAGTAAAATTCTAATAACTCTAGCTTTATAAACGTTTTTATAAATGATTTTATAAACGATTTTGGTTTTGGGGCTAGTTTTAAGGCCTTAAAAAAAGATAATTATATATCGAATAGTAATTATTAAAAGCTAGCTATTTTAAGAATTTTATTAATACTTTAATTTCTCTATATACTTAAATAAATTCATTTAAATTTGGTTTTCGAGAAAAGAAGGAAAAGTAATATAATAGTAGCTATTACTTAATTAGTTTTATCTAACTAGTCGGTATTTTAGTAATTTTAGTAACTTTAGTTAGTATTTCTTTTATTTTATTTTCTTTTTCTTTTACTTTTTTTTTTTAGCTTTATATTTATAAAACAAGAAATAAAAATCTTTAAGCTCTAATTATTACTTTAGCTCTATTATTATATTAGTAATAATAGCTCAAGTAATTTATTATATTTTTTAATATTCGAATATTATAAAACTTAGTTTTGTAATAAATATAATAAAAAACGTCTTATTTAAGATTATTTAAAATAAGAAAATTAGAAAATTACTAATAAAGTACTTTTAATAGTAATATATCTAAAGTCCTTAATATAGAATTTATTAAAGCTAATTATATAAATAATAAATTTAATTTAAATAAAAAAGATATTTTAAAGATATCTTTAAATAAAATTAATATATAAAATAAAGAAAATAAAGAAGGAAAAAAGAAAGAAAAAAGAAGAAAAAAGTATAAATTAAAAGTAATATAATAATTATTTAGTAATTAATTAGTAAACTTAACTTTTATATATATTTTAATAAAATAATACTTTTTCATATATTAGTAAATAAATTTAAAAGGGCTTAAAAAAGAAAATATTATAAAATAAAAACTATAATAAAATAATAAAAATAGAAATATATTTAATAAAGCAAGAATAATATATAACTTTTAAAGAATTTAATTAATTAATTAATATAAAATAAAGTAATTTAAATTACAAAAAAGTCTAGCTTTTTTATATATTACTTTTAAGTTATATAATAATAAACAAGTTTATAATTCTATAACTATTATATAAAAACTATAATAGCAAGAATAAAGTAATAAAATAAGGCTTAAAAGATTTAAGATTTTAATATTTTATAGAATTTAAAGCTAAGGAGAAAAGAAGTGAGGTGTGGTAGTAGATAGGTAAGTACGGCCAAGACTACTAAAATGCCGAGCTTGGTTTGGAACCCGAGCTTGATTTGAACTTTAGCTTGAAATCTTAGCTAAAACTAACTTATAGTATTTATATAATACTAACTATTATAAAAACTATTAAAATAATATAATTTTTATAAAATATAACTTGCTATATTATAATATTTTATACTATAAGTATATTAGTAATTCGCAAAAGATAAATATAAAAGAGGGAGTTTAAATACTTCTAAGAATTATAATTATAAAAAAATAAAAAATAAAAATTATATCTAAAGAATTAAATAAAAGAAGTTTTTATAAGATAAAATACATACTTTAGTCGTGAGGCAAGCAGCGATTAATAGCCTTATTATAGAATTTAAAGGAGGGAATAAATTTCATAAATAATACTTTTATTTTAGTGTGATTTACTATAGTGGGGGGTGGGGGGGGGAGGCACTTCAGTGGGGTAAATTCGCTTGCACAACTAGGAAAAAATGAACGGTTTTTTTCGCCTGTTGCTTTTATACTTAATGAGACACTTGGTTTTGCGAGATACTTACTTTCCCCGACTATAAGCAAAGCGAGCAAATACAAACTGACTATTAGGCTAAGACTAGCGCCTTAAGAATATACTTCTTAAGTAATTACGAGAGTAATGGAGGAACGTGCTTCTTACCTGCCTTACGTGCGCGCGCCGGGGGCTGAAATATAACCAAAAAGAAAAGCCTTATTTCACGATAAAATTACAAAAACTGGCCTCCTTAAGAGAGGAAGAAGGGGACTAAAAGGGAAATAAATTTTCAATTATATAAGCACCCTTTTAGAGCAGCCCTAAAAGAGTACTAGCATATATTTAAAGGAGAGTTAACTTTTGTCGTGTATAAAAATTACTACTTTGGCGAATAATTCTGGTTTCGGAATGCTATGCGAGTTAAATAAGGGGATTTATAGGTGTTTGTAGGGGCTCTTATATATTGAACCTATTAATAAGGAGTAAAACACTAGTCATATATACTAAAAATAACACCCATTCTGTTCTCTTTATTCGATTCGTTCTATTACTTCGCTTCCGAAGTCATGGTGTCATTTATTGAGGACGGAGTAGATATCTAGGCAAAAATATTTGCAGATATGCTAAGAACCCTAGTGTTTGGGGACAGCAGACCCCCCACCAGAAGGACCGCCGCATCCACCACCACTACCACTCCCACTACCTCCCCCTCCTCCACTCCCACCATTCCCACCACCCCCGCCGCCACCGCCTCCATTGCCACCTCCCGATGACATGTCCGACATCTTCACCTGGCTAATTGTCAGATCTTGCTCACTTCACAACATTTTGCATTTGCAAATGCAGAACATTGAATTAAGCTATAAACAGAAGAGTTGAAGACATTAAACAGGTGGCTTACGCTTAAAAAATCTATTTGTTTATTTTACTTCGGAGTGATACTTTTGAGGTTGTCGCATTTTTTGGACCTCCCATCGACTTTCAGGTCTGATATCTCCTTGGTCCTTGCGGCGTGTAGGGTTGGTATTTGAGGAGCGATTGAAGAGAAACAGAAAATAAGGGAAAGGAAAGGAAATGGGATCTGGTGCATAGCAAGCATTTTATACCACCTAAGGTAACTATGCCAGCCATTCATCTATCCATTTAAAAAATTCTAACTTGTGTGATGTGTCTGACAGAACATTCATCATTGCCTTACATTTGCTGGACAAGAAAAGCATTGGACAACATCTTTTGTCTTATCCACACCGCTCGTGTCTTGAAACACATGGTATTTCTTTGACTGTTCGCACCGCCAATGAGCAACTAACTTGATGTTGTATGAAAATGCTAGTGGTGTGCGGAAATTCTTGTTATAGGATATTGGCTTTGGAACGTCACTGCCTGTTGACCAATCTTGATCGGGCACGTGACCGGTCAGGATATGCTATTCGCCCCCCCAATTCTCTCCCCCACATTAAAGTTCAGCACGCCCGATTTATATGAGAAGAAGAAACCACATCAGTCTCACCTGGGACGGGAATTCAGGCTTCAGAGTTTGGTTTTGCTTCTTCTCTAACCCAAGTCGTGGCAGGCTAATTTCGCCTCACGTGTTCACGTCCAAATGTCCCACCAAGAGATTAAGAAGGTATACAAAAAAGTGTGTTACATGCGGGTACCCACCTGGTTGTTTCACAACAGCCACCCTGGATGTGTGAATCATTATTTTATCTCCCATCTCGTCCCGTCTCGTCTCGCCTCGCCTCACTGAACTTTTATTATCACCTCACTTTACTTCAATCAGAACAAAGGGACAAAATGCCGAACTCAATGCCGGGGTCAGTGAATTGCACTTTCATTTATTCATGGCTAGCTCTCACGACTATAAAATTATTAATCACATGGATGCTCATTACTTTATAGCGAATCGCACCAAGATGGCAGCAAGGAGTTTCCTGACAAAGTCGAGACAATTGCAAGATTAGAGTCCACAATGGAAGCGGTTAAAGAGATTCAAAGAATATGCAAGGTTCCATCAATCTGCTTTGGAGTTCTCCACAAAGGCGAGGTCATATTCGCGCGAGGTCTCGGCGAGAGACGACCAGGATCTAATCTATCCCCTGACGAAGATACGTTGTATCACCTTGGCTCTGTCTCGAAGATGTTTCTTTCTAGTGCCATTGGAATCGCTGTTGATGACGGCAAGTTAGGGTGGGATACTGCCGTCTCTACATACATTCCTGACTTTAATCCTATCGGAGACCCAGAGATCGGGAAGAGGGCTGATCTGATTGATTGCTTGCGACACTCCACAGGACTCGGGAACCCTCAAATCCTGATGCAGGCTCCACGAGGCCATATTATTGGGCTCGAAGAAGATTTCGTGAAGCTCATGAATGAGGTACCAACAAGCAATGACTCCGGTCAGCGATTCAATAACTGGTGGCTGTACAATAATTACAGCTATGCACTGGCAGCTATTGCGCTCCAAAACGTTTACGAGCAACGCTACCATAAGTTTCTTCGAGAGCGAATCTTCAAGCCATTGGGAATGTCCAGAACTGCTGTAACCACCTCAGATTTCATTCATGACGACAACGTCGCACCTCCAACAGCAAGGCTGGAAGATGGCCAGGTCGTGTTATTAAACTCAGAAGAGTTCACGTCTGGCGAGCACACCCCAACGCTGGCAGCCATGGGAATTCGTAGTAGTGTCACGGATATGCTGAAGTGGGCCACAGCGGTACTTGCTGCCGAGAAAGCGGAGTCCAAAGCGAAGGAGCATGAAATAGGAGGCTTACCTTATCCATCGGATATCCCTAATGGCGACAGCTCTACTCAATACCCATCAAGAAATCCACTTAAGAACATATCTATCACACGGCGGAGCCAGTGGACACGTCCCGTGCCTGACAAATATCAAAACGAGTCGGCATATTGCCTTGGCTGGTGCCGTATGAGGATGCCTACTTCCATGTTGGGCTGGACCGGTTGGAATTACATGACTCGATACGACGATGAGAAGACCAACCAAAACTATATCCTTGGCACATCCTCACCACCAAAGCTGGTAATTCAGCACAATGGGCTCAATAATGGCAGTTCCTGCGCCTTCTACACCTTTCCCGAAACTCAAAGCGCCATTATAGCCTTCTCCAATGGCATTCAAGACGGCGACGCCGCGGACTTCACAGCACACACCATAATCCAAGCGTTGTTCGATCTTCAACCCCATGTCGATCTTCTTCCATTGGTAAAAATCGAAGCCGCCAAACGTCATAATCAATTCTACCAAGATATCTTATCTGACTGGAAGAAGTACCGTAATACAGATCAACCAGAGGCACCGCTCACAGAATATGAGGGTAAATACGAAGCTCTCGCCACGATACTCAATATAGCTCGCATACACACTTCAGACGGAAAGAGATTATCTATCACCTGGGGTAGAGTTGTTAATACCCGGCGGCGACTTGACTTTTATAACAAAGATACATATAGTTTCCTACCGTTGACGCAAGACGAGTGGCTAGCAGAATCGATGTTTGATTGGGATTACTACACCACTGGGCTGCTAGAATTCCACAGGGATAAGGAGGGGAAGGTCAATGAACTGTCGTGGAAGTATGACGAATGGGAGCATCCAGCTATTTTCAAAAGGAAAAGTGATTACGCTACAGAGACTTGTGGCGTTGCTAAAGAGACTCGCGAAGAGAATGGCAGTACTAACCGAGAGAAGTCTGGTTGAGCACAATGACTAAAAGAGTAGTAGCATATTTAGTCTTATTTATAAGGCCTTAATTAAATATTTCAATCTTATTATATTAATTCTATTAAACCTGCACTAAATAACTATATAATTATAGCCTAATATAAGTTACTATAACTTAATTTAAGTTATTTATATTTCTCTTTTAATTAATAATAGTTTTAAATATATTAAAATAAGCTTTTAATTACTTGTTTTTAATTTTCAATTCATAAATAATACTATGGTTTCGGTTTTAACCTAGTTACTTAACTAGCTTACACGTATATTACTTATATTTATTAGTTTTAATTATTTCTAATTACTTTTAAATTATATAATAATATATTATATTATATTATATATACTAAAGAAATTTATATATAAGAAATTTAAAATATTAAGCCTTTTATAAACTAATATATTATAAGATATATATTTATACTTTTATGGCTTTTTATATTTTAGTTTTCTTTTTTTTAGCTTTAAATTAATTTTATAAAAAAAACTTTTTGTTTTATTTTCTAAGCTTAAAATATTATATTTATTATAAATTATATATTATTTAATAAAGAAATAATATAAAATATAATAATATATAACTAAAAAATATTAAAGTCTTATATTAATAACTTGTTTTACTTAGCTAAATATTAATATAAATTTAAGTTAACTTTATGCAATTATTTTAAAAGGGGCAATTTAGAAATTCTCATAAGGATTTGGCTTTTATTATTTTTCGTAGTAACTTATTTTAATTCAAATCAAGGAGAAAACACGGTTGCAAAAGGCATTTCTGGCCATAGCAAAACAGATACATTATCTGGTTTCTGCATGCCACTTGGTTTCTATACACTAGTTGATTTTCATACAATATTTGATTTGTATACTATTTCTAGTCTCGTGGTCACAATATCCTGTTTGATTTTGCTCAAGTAATATTCTACGATGGTTACAAGCGGACCTGCTTACTCGCTCTTCTCTATATATCTCAGCGTCCTCTATCAGCAGGATACCAAACCAGACCCGTCCGGTTTCTCAGCCTCGCTAGAAAAAGTTCAAAGTCGGGGAGGAGAATGGCGAACCCCGCATTAGCGGTATTTCCGTTTTAAGAAACAAGCTCCCATATCACCGCACCTCACTCCCAGGTAACTCCACTCCGCCCCCAAACTGCCGCCCATCGCCATGCAGTTCCCCCACATACCTACCCTCACTATCCAACTCTTCAGCCCTAAGCCCATACCTCCCCTGCGTACCGCTGCCATCAATCTCAACCGCCCTATCCACCGCCAGATCCGTCCCAACCTTCCCCTCCTTCTCAACATCCTCAATAATCTCTTTCTCCCCCACCACCCCACCACCCCCCTTCTCAGGAAGTTCCGCCCTCCCTCCTGCCTTCCTAACCCCCACCGCCGCAGCACCAGGTACGAACGTACTCGCCGGCTCCCCTGGCGTCTGAGACTGCGTACTAACCTGCTGTTGGACAAGAAGAGCCTTCTTCTTCTGCCTTCTCGGCAACCAAACCAAGAAAGCTCCCAACATCACCGCAATCAGAACCAACGCACCCAGCACCCCGCCCACAATTCCCGCAACATTAACCTTTTGCCCTCCACCCCTTCCAGAGTTGGGGGCGGAGGTTGGGGTGGTGATGAGGGTTTGCACGCCGGTTTCGGTGACCTGGAAGGTGGAGCCGCCGTTCGTTATGGTGTAGACGATGGCGCCGGTGACGACTGCTGTTGAAGGGTTGCTGGCGTTGACGGTAGTTGTTGTGGCGAGGACGCTGCGCGGGTAGCCGGCTGAGGTGCAGTAGGTGTCGTAGATTGAGAAGGCGTCTGGGATCTGCGAGGGGTCAGTTTTGGGTTAGGTTCTGGGGTTGCATTTGGTTTATAGGGGGGAGAGGGAAAGAGGGAGGGGAGGTACCTCTGCCGTGCCGGTGCAGACCTCGATGATGCATCTGGAAATCAGGGAGGTGGCCTTGGTGGCTACGGCTGCGGTGCAGTAGCAGCCGTTGTAGTAAGGACTTTCTCAATTCGTTAGTCTTGCCTTGAGATTGGATTTAGAATGGGGGGAGATGGCTGAGGAAAGAGAGGGGAGGGGAAGGGGAAGGGGAAGGGGAAGGGGGAATACCTAGTGCAGCCCAGCGCCGCAGCGAGTATGAGCCCATCCGGTTGTCCGCCGAATGCTTCCTGCATCAGGCATTCTCGGACGCAGCCCTCGGCGACTGCATATCCATCCGAGCCGGTTATGCTCACCGTTGAGAGATCACCTGGGGCGGCTGTCGTTATTGCTCCCGGTTCGCCGCCGTTACCGTTAGCAGCACTCGCGCTGCTGGTTTCAACGATGACGCTGTTTGCGCTGGTTGTCGCGGTGCTAAAGGCAAAGGGGTTACCGCCGAGATTGAGAGTTGCAGTTGCGGCGCCATCTGCGCCGAGGACGCCATGGAGCGCGCATATAATTGAGATCAGAATCTCAACTTTCGTGTGAGGGGCCATTTTCGCTGTTACCAGCTCATACTTGACCCTTAGGAGGAAGCTGGGCGAAGAGGAAGTTCAAGAGAGGTGGAAAACCAACGACGATGAGGTTTCAAAATGTGTGGCACAAGAGGGCGACACGAACCATTTTGAAAGGACGGCAGAGCCTCGTGATGAATCTCATGCCGTTTCTCTAACCCGAGCTCGGTCATTGAATCAAGCCATAGGGTGAAATTGGCGTATCAGAGACTCGGGCTGAAGCGAGCGGGCGCTGCTGTCAATAAAAGCTTTCGGCCCCTTGTTGAAATCCGGTGAAGTGATTGGCAGGTTTTGCCGTGAGGCTGACAGTTGTACAACTGTTTTGGGGAAGTGGGGCTTCCCCCTATCTGGTTGGTCCAATCGTGGAAATTGAGACGTATTTAAGCATTTCGCCAAGCCAAACATAGATTTCGAATTGGATTGAAGATCCGCAGGGATGTTGTTACTTGTAAGGATATTTGAAGCATTCGAGAAAGGTTGTTTGATAAGTCGGTTTTTGGGCCGCGAACTATCCTCATAGAATTTCAGAAACCTCTCATATCACTCAAACACTTGCTAACCTTACGGAACCTTTCCTCGTTCTTCCCCTGTTCTAACGCCAAAGGAACCGGGAGGACAGTCCTCGTATTCTCATGTAGATGTAGAACTAAGAAAGGCTGCGAAAACTCGACTTGATTCAACCCCGCGCTTGACGAAGAAAAGGGAAAGAAGATGCAAAAGACAATCATTTTGAGAATATCAAAATAAGGTGCCGCCATGAACAAGATCGCCTATCTAGATCTCCTCTTGAAGCTCAAAATCATCTCACTCGCACATGATACATTACTTCTCCGCCATGTTGAACACTCGTCAGCCGGGGGCAATACACCGTCATTGTTGACTCGGTGACATACAAAGCCAAATAAACAAATACAATGATACCCGAGGAATTGTTGAAATGATATCTTCGGTCTGGACTTGTCCTCCCACTTGGAATCTCGTCTCTTCAAAAGGGGTGATCCTTGCACACCCAGCGAATCGAAGTTGCAGCAGGTCTTCGCTGCATTCACCGAACCGGATCTTTTATATCATTCACTGCTCCCGCCGTCGCCCTTGAGCCGCACTCGCGGGGTTCTGTCTCTATTCTTGCACTACGTAAGGTAAAGAGACGTCCTTGTCTGCCTTGACGTTTCTGGCTTGCGCTGGGCTGTCTCTCATTTGAAAACGACATCACGGACCTCACTCCTACGTCGGTACTGCGGAACGCCCCTCCCGCGACCTCGCCACACCGCGCTTCGCCCTCGCACCGGGCCGCGAGGAAACCCGTCAATCCGAGTATCGCTCTGATGCTCACTGTGTGATTATGTAGACGCTGCTTGTGCCACAGAGTCATTCGGCAGATCTTGCACTCGAGCTGATCTCGTTGGGCAGTGCTTTGCTCACAGATTCTACTCTAGAGCGACACCTAGAAACTCATATTTAGCAGGTGAGAATTTTTTGGTGGAGATTTGTTCCGGCCAAATATTGCGTATTAAGGTTATCACGTGCTTATATGACTCTAATTACAGCCAAACCAAACGCCACAAATACAATTTTAGCGAGATTAGAAGCTACGGGCTCGCAAGACAGCTAGGGTGGGTTTCCGGGCGAGGGAGAGAGCTCTACGGATTAGTTTTGCTCCTCTTATAATTAAAAAAAGCCCCTTCTTGAGTTTGGCTACTTCTTTACCTATAATGCTTGTTGATAAAGAAATAAAAAGGCAAAGCAAGCTCAGTAAGCACCGTATAAGGCTATAAGAGAAGATATAGAATAATTAATTCGAGTCCGGACTAAATATATAAGCGAGTATAAGCTTAGGAGTAACTTTACTGGCCTATTAATTCTAGAGGACTATTTAAATAAAAGCTCTTAAAAACACGAGTTCCCGCACGCTTATATATTATATTAGTGCGAGCTTGTAGCGAAATATAGCTATATCTAATAAGGAGAGGGTTTTATAAAAGAGAGTTTAAAATATAAAAGTAAGGCTTGGAATAACTCGTAAACAGAGTTAAAGAGCTTAATGAGTAAGAGTAAGGCATAAAAAGCCTATGAGAGATAAAAGAGAGTTCTGTGTCTGTGGTGTCACGTGATCCTCCTGACCTCGTACTTTTACAATTGCAATATTCAGCGCAATCTCTCATTCTCTACTCGCTCCAACAACCCACTTCGCAGCCCATCCAGCAAGCTCACAACTCAGTCTCAACTACGCAAGTATTAGCATTCAACCATATCCCGATACTCTCAAGAAACTTACCTCCAGGCTCACGACCCTTCATACTTAATCGTCCCTTGATCTTATGTCCCAATACCTTAACCTCATCCTTCCCAAACTTCAGGTGTCTCACCGCCTTGATATTCATAATCCCTCTTTGCTTCCTATACAAATCCGCTTTGGCTGCTTTCTTATCCTGGTTCTCTCTCCTCTTCTTCAACTCCTCGTCTTCGATCTCCGAGTCCGTGAGATCCTCTTGCACGCCCAGGGATGAAGCGTCGTCGGAGATTATAGAAGTGATGGAGGATGCGTACTGTGTGAGTTCTTGTCCGAATTCCTTGCTGCGTTCATCGCGGGGGTCGGTGGGAGGGTCGTCAATTTCTTTCTCGGAGCCGGGGGCTTCGCGGGGGATGCGGACTGGGCTGTGCTCGTCTTTGTCTTTCATGTCATCTCCCGGGTTGGAGCTCACGATTGAGCTCGCTCCGTCGATTCTCCCTTGATCGACGAGATCTTGGATAGGCTTTGGGGTCTCACGCTTGACAATTCGGGTCCGGTATCCTTCAGCAACGCTGCATTGCCACGATTCATAGGTCTCGTGCTCGTCGTTTGTTTTTACCCACTGGTAGTGCGTGTTGTCCATCCCCATCTTGAATCGCACCGTCAATTTCACGGTGCCGATTTTCGCCGCCTCGATGTCGTTTCTCTCCTTGTTGACATCGGTGAGGTAGTTTTGCGTCAGTGATTTCGAGTTGGCTTTGTCCGCCTTGTACACCGGGAGCGTTAACTCCGTCACGGTATTATCGACGAGGTCCGAAAGCCAGTACATGGCATATGCAGTGGGGTGTCGGGAATTGAAGGAGAAAAATTCGAGACGGAGAGGAGCTTGGTAACGGCGTCGAACGGGTACGATGACCCTATGTTTGTGAAGTTCGTTGGTTCCTTCCTTGATATATTTCAAGTCCCATGAAGCACTCTGCTCACTCTTGTTAACCCAGTCCCTCGAAATAGCGCCTTTGCCAACATCGGTATTGAGAACTATTTTGGTTCCGGCAAGGACGCCGGTGGAGTCTTCTGCAGTTACATTTTCACCGAGAACCTCAACAGATCCCAAATCCCATCCCAGGAGATTTGGTGGCAATTTGAGATCGACAGAGCGGAATAGAACCGAGATCATGATCCGACCATATCCCATTCCGCCATCCAACGCATAAATGGCAGTGCTTTGTGAAGAAGTCTGTAATACCTCGCTCAGCTTGATTGTAACAGCGCCAAGGATCGGGTCATGCTCTCGGTGAACGCTGTTTCTACAAGTGACGGTAAAGATACTTGATCTCCAATCGCGAACAAACCGTTCAGTTTGTGCATTGAAGATGGGATTTGACGATTTGACTTTGGTCCTGGTCTTGAAAACCAAATCATCGTTTTGAAGAATGGTGCAGTAAGAGGATGGCAAGTCATCAGCTTCTTCATCCGTATTTTCACCAGTGATTTGAGCTGGTGTCCAAGGCTTGTACGACCCAAAACTTCCACTCGGTCTTTCAATCTCGAGGTTCTCAACTTCATGGATAAGCAGAGAGCAGATACCGGAAGGCAAGCTGGGATCCGGAGGTGTGGTAGTGACGTCGATCTCATGCTGTGTAGTTACGATTCCTTTGTCGTCTTGAAATTCTGGTCGATCCCGAATTTCCTTTGGTAGAGCAACGTTCTTTCCGTCAGATCTCATTGACTCCTTGAATTGGGACCTGGGGAACATTCCAATATCCCAGTAGAGCTTGCCGGGCAAGGTCTCGCCTTTGTCATCCTTGAGTTCATCTACCCGCTCTTCGATCCGGTTGCTGTAGTTTTTGATCAGTTCCCGGAGGTCGAAGCTGACTTTTCCGACTACGTCATCTGCGGTGACCATATCGGAATCCCAGAGCTCGACAGAGAGTCTCTCGCCAGCCGTCAGCTGATCTTGGTAGATCAATAAGCAAGTTTGCTCATTCCAAATCGGGTTGAGGTCCTGTTCAATGATGCGTGTACAGTATACCGGTTTTCCGAATTGTGAGAATGCGAGAGTGATGAACGGGTCGCTCTTGCCAGACTTGTCCTGGGCTGCAATTCCTTCTGCCCGCTTCAATTTAATGTAGATCAAACCCATTGCATCGGTCTCCTTTTTCACAGCATCACCCTGTAGCATCTTGGACATGTCCATGATCAATGACTTTGGGGCGACGTAAACATCTAAAGCAGCTGCGATAGAGGAATTAACAAAACCAGAGATGAGTGGCAAGTTAAGCACATTGATACCCTTCGATGTCAAGGGTACAGCTGATGCATCAATCTTCGGCAAGCCCATGAACGTGAAAGTCAGATTCTTGAGAAACGGAGGATTCGGCGTGAGCTGGAATCGCAGTCGAATAGTTCCGATAATTCCATTCAGCTCGACGAAGATGGGAAGTGGGATGCCGACAAGCCCTTGAACTCCTAGATAGAAGACGACTTCCAAATGCAAGTTCTTGGCCTTACCGATGACGCCTTTGGCGGGAATTGCATGATATGCAAACGACATTTCGAGGTTGTAGTACTTGGCACCCTCGACGTCTTCCCCTTCTAACTTGCGTTGTTCTGCTTTCTTTGCCTTTTCTTCAGCTGTTGGCTCTTTTCCAGCCGCCTTGTGCTTCGCGTCAGTCTCCTCTTCGGCACTTGGTAGCGATCTCAAAGATAAGATCTTGAAGGCCTGGTCTCCCAAACCGATCGACGAAACTCGGACGTTCTGGATCAGGGCCGGTGGAACAGATGCTTGCATTACATCTTCGAGTGTGTCTGCCACGGCAGCGAACATTTCAGGATTGATCAACTTCCACACAATTCCAACAAGCGAGTTCATCCACTCGACAGACTCAGGCAGGAGACTTTCAGTCGCAGCAGTAGCACGCCTGCGTTCAGCGTCCCAGTTGACGGCATTTGCATTTTCTTGGATATTTCGAAGCCAGAGGTGAATTCCACAAGCAACGGTGACTCCAGCGAAGAGAGAACTGATGAGGCCTTTCCAACCTCCCACAAATATCCAACTCAGGGCCACAATCCCAACAAGGACCGCAATAGTGGTCTGCTGCACAGCTCCCTCCAAGGCATAGAAAGCAGCCTTGAGATCTGCCAGTGGGAGAGGGTGGTACAGAACCTCTTTATTCTTCGAGTGTTGTAAATACTCCTTCGTTCTGTTCGGGTCGGCTTCTGGCGGTGCTAGGTCGTCCAGTGTCTGTCTGTAGGCCTCCCCATCTCCAGTTGCCCGCCTATCAGGATTGGGAACAGTGATCTTTGGTCTCCGAATTGCTTGCTCAAAAGATCCATCAACATCTTGAATAAGGACTTCGTTCTTCGTTGTTGGATCGATCACTCGTCGTCGAGAAGCTGCCTTTGCTGCTGCGATCTTTTCTGAGTCTTTTCCAGAAGCTGCTTTGGATGCATCGGATTTCTGGAGGTTCAGACGCTGGGCAAGCTCTTCACCAAGTTTTTGGATAGTGGGAACCTGTGTTGGCCTCGGTTATTAAAGCTCACAACTGCTGAGTTGAGGTGCGCACCTTGTTCCTTTGAGAATATGGAGGCATCTTGAGCTGACCCTGAGTTGATGGTGATGCTCTCCAAGCTCAAAGTGATCTTTCTTCGAGTTCAACCCCCTCAATTGAAACTGGTTGTTCTTAGATGACGAAAGAGGTTGCGTAGCTTGGAGCTTGGTAGTTACAAACAAGGCCGAGAGTGACGTCAGCGATCTACCGCATCCTTTCTACGCATCATTCCAAGCTTGACCGGCTTCTTGGGCTTCACTTTTCAATAATTCCGAGGCATTGCTGATTTATGATGAATTGAAGAGCTTCGACATCTTATCGTTCTCAAGAGAGGAATATTGGAACTCTCACGGAAATGTCTTCAACAGGAGGAAGTGACGGTGCTGGCCGTCCAGCTCCAACCCCAGAGAGCAAACCCGATGATTCGCACCACCCGACAGCAAATGATATAGTAGATGAGTCAAAAAGCTTACCAGATCTCCCAGGAGATCAATCAACTTCTACAAATAAGGTATTTTAACTCTCGAAACACAATTCTTCTCGAACAGTTAATTGAGTTAACCTAAGGAACTTCCTCCGCCTCCTCTACCACGTAAAGATACTGGCTTGCTACCTGTAAATACAGTAGGTCATGATTGTCGAATTTCTCCTAGAGCGTTAAATTAATTGATTCAGAACCAGCCAACTCCTCAATCCGAATCGAATAGTGCTGCTCCCAAACCGGTTCCTCGAATTGACCCATTGCGAGCAGACCCAACACAATACGGCCAAGCGTATTCGGAACGAAACCCTCCCCCAAATATACAAGGACTCCGCGAACACGAGGCAAAACGCCAAGAAGCGTCTCGAGCATACTTTGCAGAAACACAGGAGAAGGAGAAACCTCAAAAACACACAGAGAGGAAAGACCAAGCATCTGCAGCAGAAGATGGACCACAAGCAGGTGCAACAGACGATGTGCCAATTGGAGCTGAGAAGTCGAACGTTCTTTTCCACCCAACTCCTGAGGTCAACTTCGACCGCGTTTTCAAAGCCATTGAGAACGATCTGAGACAGGTGTCTTGTGTTGTATTCGGTGCGATTATGATTTTGGATTGGCTGTTCATCGGTGGAGGATGGAAGGGCCTCAGCAAGTCTCTTTTCCCAGCTGGAGGTGTCGCTGCAGCTGTTTATTATGTCCTCACCCATGTCGGACAACAGGCTGCCGAGAGAAAGATGGAGTCCTCCGACCCAAAGACAGAAAAGTTGAGATACGTACCCGAATCTGTGGAATGGATGAACAGTTTAGTGGAGACATTGTGGGCAACCCTGCAGCAAAGCTTCTTCGATGGCATTGCTGAACAAGTCAACGACATGATCAAGCCCTACATCCCCGAAAATATACCCGCAACTGTCAAGATTACGGAGCTTGGCCACGGCTGCCACTCGGTTAGAGTTCTTTCAATGAGATCACTCCCTGATTCCGAGTTTGGTGACTTGGTGCCGACTCATGGGCTCGACAAATCAGGGTCAGTGGAGCAAGCCAAAGAACGTGAAAACGCAGCGGCGAGGGGAGAAGGTGGAGTGTTTTACAACCTCGAAATCGCAATTGCCTACCATGAATCGCCTTTCAAGCCACGGAAGGACCACATGCACGTCGATATTCTGGCAATGGTCGGGCCTGTACCAGTTCCGATTTACGTCCAAGTCAAGGAATTCCTCGCTACGATCAGAATAAGACTTCAAATGCATCCGGATTTGCCCTTCCTGAAGAACGTCACTTTTGCACTGACCGAGAGTCCAAAGGTCAACTCTTGCGTGTCTTTGGGTGCTCCATGGGCCCTGGATCTTCTGAACCGTCCGATTATCGACAATCTCCTCGTCTCTCAAATCGATGCGGCAGCCGCAGATTTCGTCCAACCAAAGTCAATGAGTCTTGATATGACTATGTACGTCGGCGGCTCAGACCAGAAGGAAAATACAGATGCTATTGGAGTTCTGTTTGTCAAGATCCACCGAGCAAGAAACTTAGCGAAACAAGATACAAGAGGGCCCGGTGCTGATCCTTACCTCACGATTGCCTTCTCAAAGTACGAGAAACCGATGTACGCCACTCGAATCATCAAAGGGGATCGCAATCCAGTGTGGGAGGAGTCTGCAGTCATAATGATCCGATCGGAGCACGTCAAGCGTCAAGAGAACGTCTTGCTTCGACTGTGGGACTCGGACACTACTGGTTCCGACGATGTATCCGGAGTCTGTGAATTTCCCCTTCAAGAGCTTATCATGAAGGTAAATCAGATGCAAAAGCGAGAGGATAAACTGCAAGGAGACGTCGCAGGCACAGACGCTGAAGGGATCCTGGAGTGGGAGATCGGCTACTTCCCTCGCGCAGAATTCAAGAAGCAACTGCGTACCGACGCTCAAGATCCCCGCGATGTCCACGGCGATAAGATCGAAGTAAAAGAGGAAGATAAAGTCCAAAACGCACAAAACACCGTCCCAGACCCATCCCTTCCCTCCGGTATCTTAGGATTGACGATCCACCAATGCATTAACGTACAAGCCGACAACCCGAACAAGAAGTCCATGGGGCAAGTACAGATCCTCGGCCAGGACTCTGACGGTGAGGATGACGCCAAGGAAGAAACAGTGTCCATCGAGTACATTCCATCGCTCTACGTCACGGCAGACATAAACGACAAGCTCGTGTACCGCACACGCGTAAAGTCCATCACCAATGCGCCGAACTTCAACTCCAGCACTGAGACGTATGTTCGCGACTGGCGCATGGCGACCCTCACCCTCTCCGTTTGGGACACGAGAAAGAAATCGAACGATTGCCTCGTTGGCGTCGTGGCGCTAAAGATGTCTGACATCTTTCACGAAAGCTCTTCGATAGTTAAGTTCTATGATCTTAAAGGTGGCGCTGGGACGGGAAGGATTCGTATGAGCATGATCTTCCGCTCGATGGGTGTGCAGCTGGAAGAAAACCTCCTCGGTTACTCCGTTGGCTCCTTCGTCTTCTCTTCCAACATCACATGCACAGGCTCAAACCTCAACACGAGGAAGTTGTACCTCCGCAACGCAGGCAGCGAGCGCGCCATCAAGAGCGGAGAGCAATCCGAGAGTGGATATACCTGGACACTCAACGAGAAACAGCGAATCCTGCCAGTGCATCATAGATACATGTCCCCCATCGCCCTCGAGTTCTGCGGCACTTCAGAAGCCATCCCGTCCCCCGGTCCCCTGGGAAAGAAGCTAGCAAAGAACAAACACTACGCAATCCTCTGGCTCTTCCGCCTGGTCGACAACAAAGTCTCCACTTTCACCCTCCCGATCTACAAAACTAACAATCCAGATAGACTCTTGCAGAATGTGGTAGATGAAGCAGACGATACCATGGCATTGGAAAAAGTTGGTGAGGTGAAGTTCGAGGCGAAGTTCAGTGCGGGCTTGGATGACAGCCACGAGGAGTTTTTAGGGAAGGGGTTTGGCAGTCATGATCATTGGAGTGCATTTCAGAGCTGGAAAGCCGCGAGGGCTTCAGGTGCGTATGTAGTTCTTTGAATCTGGGGGTTGAAGAGACCGGGTTTGATATTATGCTGATTTTGGAACAGGGCAGAGGAGTTCGCAGGCTGAGAGGAGCACGAATGGGACGGTTGCGAGGTTGTCGAAGGGCCTGTAGATGTGGATTTGATTTGGGGTGAACATGTTTATTGTAAAAGTAACAAGTCATTGCAAGGAGCTTTATGAAATGTATATGGCGGTGGATTTGGATATTTCCTCACGTTCGGGTAGCGAGAAACATCAGGGGGAAGCGATAATCACGTGCCAGACAGCCCTTCCCTTTCCTCGCCTTTTTGTGCACTAAAATTGCAGTGCATGGGCAGCCACGGCCATGCTTCAGCCTCGTGAGTCCTTGACTGACAAGAGTACTATATTCAACAGATCCATATTGTGAAACCAGAACATTTCCCTTGCGATCCTGCACAGACGTGCAAAGTCTGTCTCTTGAACAGGAAAATACAACACAGCGATCCTCCCATTGCGAGAATGATCACAGAGTCTAATACTACCAATCTTCCACCAGCAATTCGTACAAACTCACGACAGATCTCCCCTCTCACTTCTTCCCTTCTTCTCTACCCTCTGCTTCGCACGCTCCTGCCACGTCTCCCATTTCGCCGCCTTCCTCGCTTGCCCGTTCCTCGACTTAACATTTTCTCCTGCTTCCCGAACTTCTCCTTCAACTTCTCATATCCCGGAATCTCTGGTAGCCCTGTTTTCTCTCCCAACTTCCATCTTCTCTTCTTCAACGCGAAACAAAACGACACTCCTCATCTTGCCCGCTCCATTCACAGGGATCACCCTCCCTTCAACCTCCACCTCTTGCTCCTCGCCGGGCTGCGCTTCCTGAGCTGGAAAATCGCGCCAAATCTCAACCCTATTCGTCTTCCCGATATCTTTCCTCAGAACCACGAGTTTGGTGACGCGGATAGCCTGTTCCTGATCACCAACTTCCATCAACAGGACCGAAGAGGAGCTCCGGTCGTAGATGCGGAGCAATTGGCGGTAGAAGATATCGGCGTCTTCAGCTAACTCCGCATCGCCTTTCCGTCTGGCTTTCCAATTCATATATCTCTGAATCCACCTTTCGCTTCCGGGCGAGTAAGTGGCTTCGGGAACGAGCGCGAGGCGAGGTTCGTATTTCTGTACCGAGTGAGAGGTGGTGGAAAGGAAGGAAGAGCGGGAGATGTACGGTGGGTTGCTGATTATGATGTTGAAATCCCCAAGAGGGCGCAGGAGTGATGTGAAGATGTCATGCTCTCGGAACTGGATTGGTGCGGTAGGATCAATGCCAAGAACACGCTCGTCTTTGACTTTTTGCTTTTTTAGGTACTGGAGGAGTTTGTGGCCTTTGAGGTGAGATCTCCTCTTATAGCCGGGGATTTTTCCTTGTAGTGCTTGTTTGAGTTCCTCATCTTGCTCTTTGCTCCGGGGAAAAGCGGGGAGATGTCCTCTGTTGATGTTGAAGGCCAGATTCTCGTCTGCGAGTGCCACGGCTTTGGGGGAGATGTCTAGACCGAGGGTTTTGATGTTTGGGAATTTATTGCTTTTGGAAAGGAGGGAATGAAGAAGGAGAGAGATGCAGCCGCTTCCTGAGCAGACGTCTAGGATGCTCAGCCCATTTCGTGGGCTGGGAGCCTTCCAGCGGCCGCGTCCCGGGAGGGTCCTTCTGAACGGTAAACAGAGTTGCTCATCCAACGAGCCATTGATAAGCAACTCCGCAAGGTGTGTTGTATACGCCTCCGTCTCTGGTCTGTCACTCAATTGTCAACAATGTCACGTGACAACATCTGTCATGACAACAAACCGTGGGATCAAAACACCAGGCCGACATTTAATATCCAGTTCCCCAAAAGGCTGCGAACCGAGAATATATTGCAGGGGCTCAGCTCGAGATCTCCTTTCACAGAGATGGAGGAGGCGTTTTCTAAATGCTCGGGGACATAGTGGGGGAGAGGGAGATTGGACATGTTCTGTGAGCCAGCGTAGCTCGTTAATGGCGGATGGGAGGTCGCGAGTCCCTTGCAAGACGAGGGGGAGGAGTGTAGATTTCTTGTGAGCGCGGAGGAGGAGGGAGTGCGGGAGTCGAGGCATGAGCCTGAGTCCGAGGTGGAAATGTCTTCAATGAGGCGTTTTGCTGCCAAATGGAAGGGAACAGCTCATGACGTCGAGTTAACAGGCTTCATAGCGACCAACAATTGCTCAAACAAGAATTAAAGAGTGTAGTATGAATTGGGCTTTGAGACGAAAATTGAAGTTGATTTTGATATCTCCGCCCCTTTTCGGCATTTTCGATACGGCAGCCGAGAAGCTTCAATGACGCAATCAGATAAGATCTCCTCCATCACCACCATTTTGTCCAATCCATCTTCACCTCCCTCATGTTCCTCCGCCCCATAACGCGATCACCGTCAACATGGCGCCTCCATCGATCTGCAATTCCTCCTCTCCGCCACTACATCTCAACCCACCTTAAACCCTCATTTCCTTCCATCCCAACGTGCCCGAGTCCAACATGCTCCTGCGCGCCCACTCCCTCTATGCCGGAAGGTTTGGAGATTGATCATGAGAAGAATTTGAATGGGACAATGGCAGCCTATGCAGAGCAAGTACTGATCTGCACCGGGAAATACGACTGGATGAGCAGGATCGAAGAGGAGAACGCGGGGGATAATCTGGCTGCGGATATTAAGGAGTTGCTTGGACGGGGCGGGGTGTATCGTGATGTTTGTATTTCCCCAGTGTTGTCTCCGGATTGTGCTAATGATTGGCAGCCATACCACAACGTCTCCGTAATCAATTCCTCGTTCCCGAGTTCCGTGCCAGAACGAAGAGAGATACAGACAACGAGCGCGTATATCCTTCCAAGCTTCAAATACGTCCCTTTCCTCCCACGAGTATCGTTTGATTCCGTGCAAGCGTTGGTCAAGGGCTACTTACTGCCGAAGAAGTTGCATCCTGCACACGACAACCTTTCGCCTATACACCGAGACCGATTGCTACGCAGTGAAAGCCAGGGGTCATTCTTATATGGCGTGCAAGATGTGGAGGATGTGTTGGTACTGATTTGTGGACATGGAGGGCGGGATGGGAGGTGTGGTGTCATGGGACCGGTGCTGAGAGAGGAATTTGAGAGGCAACTGCCAGGTCAAGGTTATCAAGTACTCAAAGGACCCGTGGAATCGTCTCCCAACAGGGATGAATTACTGCTCGAGGATGGAAAGAGGGAGCAGGCGGGGAAGGGGATAGCGAGAGTAGGCCTTATAAGTCATATTGGCGGACACAAGTTTGCTGGGAATGTGATACTGTATTTCCCGCCTGGGTTGAAAGGAAAAGATGGAAATAGACATGCGTTGGCGGGGTGCGGGATTTGGTATGGGAGGGTTGAACCTAGGCATGTGGATGGTATTCTGAAGGAGACTTTGGGGAATGGCAAGGTGGTCGAGGAGATGTTTAGAGGCGGCATCAGGCAGGGCGGGGAGATTTTGAGATTGTGAGGATGTACTTTGCATGTTTGCCGGAGAAGAGAGTGCTTGATTGGAGGATGTTTGAGGAACCTCGCAAGGCGAGCATAAAGCGAAGTCGAACCCAAGTCATCCTATTTGCGTAGAACATATTGTGGGGTTGGCGTACGGCTGCATTGAAGGCGATTAGACTGGGGGATGTTGGCATAGATTCAACTCCTGTACGATATGTTCAACAACTCCGTTCTCGCAAACTTGAGCTCCTTCCTGTCTGCCCCACGGAGTTCGGCCAAGGGCCAAGCAGCAGTTGAGGAGGGGGCTCCGGGCCGAAAGGTACGTCTCATTTGCCAACCTCTAGCTAGTGACAAACCCCTGACAGCGTTTTCCCAACCAACCAGGACGAGGCTGAACCTTCGTTCTAGCAAGGCAGCCAAAGCCGAAAACGGGCTTGCGCTTCAAAGCCCGAACTGGTGGAAGGCTGGGAAGGTCCAAAATCCTGATCGTAAAGCCTTGGCACAGTGCTGCAGCTCGATGTGGAAGCTGAAGGAAAAATTAAGAAAATTATGATGTAAGTGCTAAGATCGAAAACGCAAAGACGAGAAACATGTAGATCTGGGATTTCGATGTCCTGGCCCCTGTCCACGCATACAGAGACCCATTGATATGCAAAATTATGGAGTATCACATGAGAGAAAGTTACTGCGTTTAGCACAGGCAGAGCTTTTGCAGCTGGTCCGGAGCTTTTGCCCCTGAGGACAGTTTTTCAGGTAGAGCACCAGAGACAGCAAACGGATCTGGCCAATGGCGATTCACGGCGGGAGCATTGGAGCTTTGACATGCAAGCTCTGCCTCGGAAGAAGGAGGATCTGACTTTCCCCATCGATGATAGTCTCGATTGCAGTGACTTTCGTATGGGATTCTGCACTTCGGCAGCCTCTCCGTCACCGAGCTCCACCAAAGTTGGCACCGCCACAGCACATTCCCCTCCAACCAAGAAATGGCATGCATTGTGCATTGTGTGCAGCTCGGCTTCGCCCTTAAACTGTATTTGGTCTTTAGCCCAGTGTTTCAGTGCAGCTGATGGTGTTATTTTCAATGACGTCGAGCAGCTCGAGGGGTAAATTTTCAAGCGAGCCAATCAGCGGGGTCGGTTCTGGCCCCGCTGACGTACATGGAGCCCCTTGCAGTGGCGCATTCGCAACTGAAGGCCTAGATGCTACGATGGCCGGCAAGGCAAAGTGAGTGAGAGCTTCAAAGAACGAAATGACGTCGGTCATCACGTGAATGTAAATTTCCAAACGCGAGGATTTGGCCCGGTCAATGAAGAGGCAAGAGGGGTACTTAAGGACCCCTCTTCCTCCATCTCGACCCTTCTTCCTACATCACACAACAACATCAAACTTCATACCAACACACACACAAACAAACTACACCAAACAAACTTCAATCAATCCAAAATGGAGACCATCAAGGTAAGCTTTTCTCCCTCCCCTCATCAACTTCCTCTCAGCTTTCGACCTCTTCCTCCCGATCCTTGGTGTTTACATTGCTGACTTGCTACCAACAGAACGCCGCCAACTACGTTTCCGAGTCCGTCCAAGGCACCGGTTCTCAAGCTTCCAAGGAGGCCAACAAGCAAGTCGCCAAGGACAACGATGCCAGCTTGAGCTCCCGCGCCACTGCCGCAAAGGATGCCGTCGGAGACAAGCTCGACCAGACCTCCCACGAGACCAAGGCTGATGTCCACAAGGGTATATTCTCACCTTCTCCTTCCTGAACTTCACCTTCAGCTTGCTAACATGTTTGCAGAGGCTGCTAAGCACTAAATTGTGACACCACCAATGATTGATCTTGGGATGGTATGCATGGAGGGTTTCTCATTGTGCGATAGGATGGCGTCATAGGGACATGGCTGGCATGGACAAGCATCGGTGGCTCTACACTTTTTCGGTGGCATGAATACCCGGTAGCATAGCAATCGAAGCTTTGTAGAAATTTCTTCTTCCCGAAATGTGATCTTGCCGTGAATCTCCGTTGTTGATATAAATGAATTAACATTTCAACCGGTATCAAGCCCAAGGATGCTGCGATCACCTCAACACCAATCAAAGCCTTCTCATTCTCGTGTTTCTCTAAACGAGGCATGGAAAGGTACCAAGGTCTTCAGCTCTAAGCTGGGGTTCCTTGGGCTTGGACACTTCCAGCAGGCCAAACAAAGTCTTTCTCTTCTCATCCTGGCGTCGGTAAAAGATATTCAGATCTGCTACGTCTCTCTATATCCATTCTACGTCCTCATTCCTGTTCCATCTCACCAGCGTTCCTTTCAATCAAAGGAAGGCATTTCAGTCTTGCTTGGAGAGTCCCTCGCTGCAAATTACGTCACTGAAAACGGTCAAACGCAAAACAGTCGAAAAAGCAGGACTGCGGGTTCCGAATTTTAATTCCTGCAAAGCCTCTGGACAATTGAGATTTCCAGTTTTTAGTTCATTCCTGAAAGATGAAGATTTCTACTTTGTTTCCAGAGGAGTCTCGCAATGTTGTTGATCAGGCCAAGCAACGCGGGGTAAGGGCCCGAAGAAAGGGGTAGAATCAGGGGTGAAACCGCGCTAGCGAACCTTCAATCCCAGCACCGATCACGATGAGCTTGAAGGTGCACGACACTCCGTCAACAACATCCGTCTCTGCAATTGATGCCAAGCAACAATCTGCGCGCGATCTGCAGCTTCAATTCCTCATCTATCTGATCGGAATCGAATTCTAGTCAGCATTCTCCGACGTCAAAAACCACGCTCAAACACGAAACTCGAGCAAGAACATGGCGTCAGCAGGCACGGGGTCCATAATGGACCACCTCGACACAACAACCATCGTCTCCCTCTCTGCCGTCCTCGCCATCCTCTTCACCTCTCATCTCCTTTCCCTGGCAACTCTACACCCCACAACGCCCACCCGCCTGCGAATCCTCTTTATCTGGCACCTCTTCGACTTCCTGATCCACAGCATATTCGAAGGCTCCTTCCTCTACAACTGCTTCTTCCTCTCAGTCCCCTTCGTCCCCACCCACCCATACGCCGACCTCTATAACAACTTTTTGGGAACAGGGAGATTGTATGGGAGTGCGTTCGGCGATAACTGGGGTAGTAAACTATGGATGGTGTATGCAAAAGCGGATCGCCGCTGGGCCGGCGCTGATTTGACGGTTGTGAGTTTGGAGCTGCTTACGGTTCTTGGAGCGGGACCGTTGGCGCTTTATATTTGCTATGGGATTGCGCGGAGGGAGGTGATGGTTCCGTATTGGATGATTGTGCTTGCTACCGGGGAACTATATGGCGGTTTGTCTTCCCTCCCCTTCTACAAGTGTGGGGGATTTTGTGCTGACAACAGAAAATAGGATTCATGACCTTCTGCCCCGAATGGCTGACCGGTAACCCAAACCTCGACGCCAGCAACTTCATGTTCAAATGGGTGTACCTTGTCTTCTTCAATATGCTGTGGGTGGCGCTGCCGTTGTTCGCGTTGCATGTTAGTTTTGTGGATATTAAGAATGCGATGGTTATGCGAAAAGGCATGGTAGCTGCTAGAATTGAGTTGAAACGGAGAGAGGCGGAGAAGGGAAGAGAGGGTAAGAAGGGAAAATAGGGGCTGCAACATAGGGTTGGGCTGTAGTTGTGGTGGTTGAGGGGCTGTAAGAGACTAGCATGTGAGGTTTGCATTATGTTCGATGCCCAAAGGTACTATTGGTGTTAGTTTCAATGTTCCAATTAGCTTTTCAATGTTCTGCATTGTTCGGTTCAGTGTCCCACTCTGCTTTGGTTCAGTATTATTTTCGATTTCGGACTTTGAGGCATGGAGATGCCCCAACCAAGTATCGCCCCTTGCGATGTGGGGACTGCGTGAGTAAAACTTCTGCTTGAACCCTCGTCTTACCCAGTCTCTTCTGTCTTCTCGGGAATATATTGGCGCATTACCACTTCGCAGCGATCCAACTCTCAACCACCAACGTTCATTGAACCAGCATTATCGGGTATCCTCACCAGCCAGTTGGCTAGGTACACTGCAGTGCAGTCACGAATCAAGTGAACCGCGATAACTTTTCCTACTAAAGTCATGTCTACGTTTCATTAACTTTCCACAGCTGCTGCTTTGTTGTCAAGGTTATGTCATCAAGTATTATCATCAACACACCAATGAATGCCATCACTGGTTCGCGAAGGATATCTTCGACAAGTTATCACCATTCTCCGTATGCGCCTCAAAGGGCAATTGGGGGTTCGTAAACACAAACAATGTGTCTCTTCTTAATGTTCCCAAAGTCACTTGACTTCGAACAGAAACATGCCGTGATTCTAGATACTCGAAAAGAATTTAAATCAGTACTCAGACTTCTTACTCGCACATTCCCGCTCGGGCTCGTATCAGTGATTCCGAGACCTCTCGCTCTTCCCCGTATTTGAGAGGTAGATCTCATTCCATGGAAGCTGATGAACTCGACGCCCCTCAAGAAATGCGCTTTACTAAAAGAGTTGTATGCGCAGACTACGCGAACAGAGGAATTGTTCATTTGTAGAAAAAATGCCATTGCAATGTTGATGCGAATAAAATCTTGTGTTCCTTGAGACACAGTGCTGACAATTGCTGAAGCAGAATGCAGAGAAGATCTGGAGAGCATGAAGTAACGTTCTGCACCCAAATTTCGTTCACCACCTCGGAAATCGCATGATGCCAACATGGAAAAAATTCTCAGCTATCTACAATGGTGAATTCGTTTGAACCCTTTTGCGGATATAAAGACTTGAATCTATCGCAGACATCGCCAGCCGCCTCATGGTTAGTAAATGCAGTTTTGCCACCATCGGACGAACATCACCCGCAGCTTAATTTAAATCCCACGAAGAAACCTTCCAGAACTTGTCACGGAAGCGGGATGGGTAGCGGGAAAAGGTTAGTGTATCAGCCACGATTCTCGGGTTCATGCTTCCTCCTGCATGTCGGGATAGCACTCCTCCGCGTTCTGATTCGGTGCAGAGAACAGGAGAAAAGAGGTGCGGTCTTTGGAGTAAAGATCTACAGCGATCTGACAGGTTCCCAAGTCAAATCGAGAATCAGGAATCGGGAAGTCCGTTTACAGCATGAACGGGAGGATAGGAACCCCACAGAGGTTCATCCAGTTCTCGTATTCAGTTCAGCACGGAGCTCGCACATTTTCGAGCGGCGAGCGCACATCTCTCGAAACTCTCCCATGATTTCCCTCACGTGTCGTCCAGACAAGGCCTCCCTTCCAAACGACCGGAAAACCTTCTTACTGGATGTTCACCAGCCGTCTTGGCGTCGCCATGGGAACAAAATTCAGATATATTAAAAACCAGAAAAGCCCCATTTACTCAAATCGAATCGAGGGCATGCCGTCCAAAGTGCGGCGACGGGAGCAGGCCAAGCTTCAGATTAAAGTGATGTGAGGCGGGGCAGGCAATAATGGGCAGTTGTATTGCAAGTGCTGCGTCGGAAGCAAGATAACCTTAAAACACCTCTCAGCTTGGCGGTCGGCGTGGTGCTCCGGATGCGGGTGCTTGGCGTGATACGGCCTTCATGCGAGAGGACAAGTACTTAAGATCAGACAGGTGAGTGGTTTTAATGTCCGATGGGGTGTGGCCGCGGCGACCTCTTTGCTTTTTTGGGTAGTGGTTGAGGTGGATGTGCGGTTCACGAGTGAAGCTTGACGGGGGAGGCGGCCTAGAGAGATACGAATAGAGTTGAGGCAGCAATTTATTAAATGAAAGGCAAATCTTTAAGTTCAGCCCTGCATATTTAACAAGGAGGGGTGATTGCGATTGGGGAGGCAAAGGCTGGAAAATGACTCGTGGTGGGGGAAGTGATGAGTGTGAGCAAAAGTATGTTGCTGGCTGCTTTCACAAGGAGATGAGAGGAATCATAGGATTCAGGACACTCCTTCAGCTTTCAGATAGATGATTGGGCACGAGAGGGGTCAATCGATCGAGGCCGGAATTAAGAATTGCATTTCTTGAATCAATTCTCCGGAAAGGCTGCTCGAGTGAGGTTGGGATCCAATCACGTGCAGCAGCGAACCGAGCGCATTCGAGTTCTCAACCTCGTCTCCTTCTCACCTTCCGGCAAGCCAACCTCCACCAAAGTCTTGAATCTTTTGATCTTCAGTTACAACCCACGGAAAGAGTGGGCTGTCTTTCTAACTTATTCGTGTGGTGTCTCTTGGCTCGCCGCTGAGGTGTCACAAGTGGTCGTTGCGCGGCATGTTTGTGGTCCAGAAGTTTCATCCCATAACTTGCGACTCTTCGAGCTTCATCCAACGCCACCATCGTTTCCCGCGCCCACGGAAGAACTCCCGGCCCGCTGATCGCAAGCACGGATGAACTATCTATCACTGGATCCTCCTCCGATGTATTCCCGGGGGCTTGCTGGCCTTGGCAGCTCCTGAAGCAGCCCGCTCCCGGCGCTCCGTGTCTTCCGCTCTCACAGTTGTCCCGAAGTTGTCGACCCGACATTGATGTTGAAGAAGATGTCTTGAGGTTTTTCATGGTCGACAAGGGGCAGCGGTCCAGCCAAGAGTTATGTTACCAGGAGATGGGATGCTTTTTGCTGTTCATCGGTCGTTAGCCCACTGATGTACCCGTGCCATGCGATCTGAATTGCGATAATCGAAAGGTTATTCATGTCTTTGTCTAGTCACACTTCAGCGTGCTGCGATCATGGAAGGACAATTCTACCTACAATCGCATCTCCCGCTAGGATGATGGGAGAGTTCACTACTCTTCGCGTTCGCTGACTCGCTGCTGGCCGCCCTGCATGCACTCCCCTGGCAACAAGCCCGTCCTGGCGGGGTCAGGGGCCTAAGCGAGAATCTGCGACGACGTCGAAACCTCCCGTGCGCCTTGTCAATGCCTTCACACTCTTCGTGCTTCATGGCCACGAAGGACCCAAGCACCAAAGCGTAGCGAGTTCACTTAGTTCACACCATCACTCATCAGAGAATGGGCGCAGTTGGCTTGATCCGCTGCAGGAAACCATGCTTTTGCGTCCAAATGGTGCTGTGTGGGAGCTGTCGTGGACTTTGGATCCAGGCAAAGTGATTTGTCCCGGCTCTGAGCCTCTTGTTCAACCAAGGACCCTGGTGAAGGCGATTGAAACCGCCAGCCCAGTACCGGGAATCCTCTCCACCAAAGGAGCTGGGAACTGCTCCCCCACCTCGTCCAGGGCCGACCTAGCTGGCCGGACTCGACTCAATCCGCGCATCGACCACTTGACGTGTATCTGGTGGTGCATGGACTCTTCCCTTATACTTCATGCGACCCTATAGCAGTGCACATCTGTGTCTTTACGTTCTTTTTTGAGTTCTGCTTGTCAGTTTGTCAGTTTGTCGTTACGTCCCATCCATTCGTTGGGCTTGTCTGTCATCACTGCTGGCTCAGAAACGCGTTTCAAATTTCTTCTTCCACCGTTCTGGCCTATCGGTGTTGTCCACTCTTTACTTTCCCTCATACTGGAACTTTCTCCTCTCTGACACCTCACTCCCTCACCACACACCATATGCGGGCTTCATGACTTAACACCACGAACGGCAACGCTAAGGCTCGCTGCCTACGATCAACATTGATATCGACAGCTGATGGAAAGTCTGAGATCGGGGAGCACAATGGCGGCTGCTTCGGTGCGGTATTTGTTGGGGAGAGCGGCAGAAAGGACGTTCAACAAGACGATGTCTGGGATGATGGCTGCGAACGGTTCAGAGCCGCTCACCCAGTCGGCGGCAAACAGAACGATCTCGCCAGCAGCAACAAAGGCAATAATAGATAAGCTGGTATTTCAGGACAGCAAGTCGGTCAGGACCTCGACGATTATTCTCGCAGCTTTTAATATGTTAGCTGCTTTGGCAACAGCGATCAGTATCCTTTACGATTGTTACTGGGCATCGAAGAGATGTGCTCCGAAGTACAAGGCGACGTAAGTGCAGGCGGATGAGACAAGAGACTTTTGCTGACAATTGAAAGGAAATTCTGTATATCAAAGATTCATCCGGCGGAAACCTTCCCTCTCATCTTAGCGATAGCAATTATTGTTCAAGGACTGGTGTTTGCTGCAGTATCAGGGGAAGGTTTACAATCATTGTTCATCATGCACTGTGGGGTGATAGCACAATTCGCCTGGGTTGGTATGTATCACCGATGAAGTGCAGAAGGAAGGCAGGCTGACAGATCTAGCACTCTTCATGGTGCCATACCTTCAATTAGTTTTCGGTCTCGAGTGTGCTCTGCGATCATTTCGGTCATTGCCTTTCCAAGCGAGAGGGAAATACGACGTCACGATATGCCTTGGGGTGGTTGTGCTGATGCTTATTGGGACGTGGCTTCCTTCATTCTTCGTTCACTCGAATACTTGCTTTGCTTCGTTAGTGTGGTATGTGATGCGATACGGCAAGTTGGGGTTGAAGTTATTGGCTGTCTCTGCGGGTTTGATGACCTTAGCCGCCGTCATAATCTTCGTGAGATTGTCAACCGTTACCTTGATTGATGAACACCAAAGAATTGCGGCATCGAGGATGGTCTATTACCTCGTTTTGGGGATAGTCTCATTAGTAAGTTTGTTCTTGCTCACGCGACATAGAAACTAATCATTTTTTCAGGCACTCGTCATTCCGTATTTTGGGTCTTTGGTCGGAGCACCGGGAGATATCAAACTCGCCATGATGGCCACAGTTGTTTTGAACCTGTCGGGATTGATGAGTGGATTATTACAACTTTTCCTCAGATCGAACACTGTCGCGACATCATTCGGTGCTAAGCAGGGACGACAGTGGGATCGAAAGAAGCATCAGATCCGGATTTTTGGGCCGAATGAATTGGCAATGCGCAACCATATAGTCAATCCAGTTACTGGACCAAGGACACAGCGAGAACTGTCGAGTCGGGCTACGAGCAGGGCGAGTCTGGTGGGAGCTGAGAAGGGAAGAGCCATCAGCATGGAGTCGTTGAACAGTTCGCCAACACTCAACAACCCTTTCTCGCCAAAGTCGGTTGATGAAATAGGCGATATGCCATCAAGACCTGGGCCAGCGGCTGGGTTCAAACAATCGCGAGGACATTCACGAGCGCCTTCTTACTCGCTGTTCCCACCTGAGGGAAGCAGTCCCAGCAAGGTTCAGCAACCAACCTCAGTGTACGACATCAGCGACCTGGCTCCACCGCCTGTAATACACTACACAGGCGGACCGCGCCACCGCCGCGATTCTTCAATAGCATCATCAGCAACAGTGCAAATCGGTCTGCGAATATCGCACGCCCCTTCACCATCTCGAGAAGAAATAACCGCCGTGCCTTTACAATCCACCACCTACAAATTCACCGCTCCCTCACCTGCAAATGCGGCAACCTCCACCTTACCCTCGGCCTCATATGCAGCTGCACCTCTTCCATCAACCACCTACGCCAGCGGCTCCACGAACCCCTTCCTCCCTGCAGCAGCTAGACCCGCGCCTTCCCCCTCGCCATTAAAAATCCAAACCAACGTCCCCTCAACACCCGCCACCCCTCTCCCCCCACGAAGTCCGCGACGACCAACACCACTAAACACAACCGCCACCAAATCTCCCCAATCCTCACCAACTCAATCGTTAATCAACAAGACCCTCCCACCAACACCGAAAGACTTCCTCCCAGAACTCGACACCGCGCAGCCAACGCAGCCAGTAAGGCAAAGCACCACCCAACTTACGCCTGCGGTCTACTCACCCGAGAAGAAGATCAAGACTTCAGGGCTAGGAGAAGTGAGAGGCGCGCCGACGAGCGCTACATTGCCAAGTAGTTTGCAAGCAGGGAGGGGACCGCTGGGAAGTCCGTTGAGTCAGCAGCAGACGAAGGCGGATTGGATATGATCCCCCTTGTCGCTCCTTCTCATTTTTCGGCTTCGGTTTGGTTTCAGGGCTTGGGCACGGTAAACGGCGGCATAGAAACGGTGTTTGGGTTTGGGTTTTGATGTATACGATCGGAGAATGGTGTTCACTTCTATTGATACCCCGAGGGGGTTGTTTTATATTGTCCCATTTTTTGGATTAGGGTTGGGTTGGTACACTATCGTTTATTTGTTGACTCTTAAGGAAAACATTCACTGCACGATGTTCTTGGTGGAAAAGAAACATGTGATGATATTGTGGAGTGGATGAGATGGGATGGGTACACAGATTGTCTGGTGAGGTTAGACATTCGTATATATGACCGGACTGGAAAGAAAGTATGATAGGATAGGACGATCATCATCTAGGCCTAAGAATGGAAATGAAGATCTTCAAACATACTTGCTTTCGCACATTTCTGTGAATGCCTTTCCTTAGGCTCAAACGTTTCTTAAACTACCTTCTTTGCTCAGTCTGCCAAACAAAGGTCATGAGCAACCCAAGTATCTGATTATTCAAACTCGGCATTGCTCTATAACATCGTCTCATCCGCTCCACCTCAAAGCACATCAATTCATGTGTCCCGTCCTCCTCGATCCACCTCATGCAAGAGCTTCGAACACTCGTACTTTTCTCAGCCAAGATGGTTTGTCCACTGCAAACGGCAAATCACCCATCTTCAAACGCAAATCAATCGCCCGATCGCACATCTCCTTCGTGCTCCTCAAGGCATGTATATAATTCTTAGCATTCATATCATATACGGTAGCATATCGCCACGTTTCTTTCGCGTTGCTTAAACTCTCCCAATATTCCTTGAATCCCATGCCAAGATCTTTCCAACTGCTCATACACTTCCATCCGCTCCTCTCACGCCAAGGGTTATTTAGATCCCATGGTTTTTAGAAGTACGGCTCTTTCTTCTGCGGGTTTACTACATTTTCATCGCGTCCACGGAAATGTCGTTATGGTACAGCACAAGTGCTTCTATTTCTAGATGTGCATTCACAAAACTCCATTATCTTCAGCTTCTCTCCAGTACCACGAATAGTTGATACCCAACATGTCTGGAAGTTGACCGTGCGACTAGTCACCTGATTTCAGGGGGTAAATGCACTTCTAGAACAAGCCTCTGGCTTTAGAAAACCTTGGTATGATTACGTACCCCTTTCATGTTTCCGCAACTCTGTTTTACATGCCATTCTGTTATTCTTAATCGAGCGTACTCCGTACGGTACTCTCAAGAAAGTCCCTCCTGGCGCTAAGGAAACGATGATTCTGGGGTTTTCCTTCACGAGATGGAAGCCCAGCCCCTCGCATCTTCCGCTCGTTCGCTTTCATTGGAATGGAGGCGATTGTCGCTCAGTACGTACAATGCATCGCTAGCAGAATAGCTGATCGAAGGAAGATAGATGCGAAGGACCAAACTCTTGTATCTGGCATCGTACTCCACTTCTACATCGCAGTGCAGCGTACAGTCGGTCCGATCCAAAAGCGACAAAAAAAAAAAAAAACCACCACAATACTAATTAATATAAATCGTATTAATTAAAACTATACTATATACTATAGGAATTAATTCTATGTTCTCAAAATTATAATATCTTTATTATTAAGGAAGTTATAATGCACGTGATTAAGCGAGCAAATATATTGGCGTTTTATATGGTCGTTTTTTTTACTTTAGTTATCACGTGACTGCCCCCCTAAATTGACCGCTCTTCTATAATTATATTAATACCTCAATAACCACAAACCCAATCAAGTGCTCCTTTTATATACTTCCAATAGCTACCTCTATAAGGCTTCAGAAACGCAAGCGAGCTGATTTAACTCTTAATTCAATTATAGTTCTTACCCTAGCTAAAGAAGCTGCAATCCAAGCAACTATTAACAAATGGCATGGGAAACCCTCTAATATAGAGGATAATTCTAATAATTCAGATATTAAACCAAGTGATAAAGTAAAGCTTGAAGATTCAACGCTCTTTTAGGTTTAGCGGAAGCTTTTTATTAGTAGTAATGAGACGATTATTTTAGAGAAGCCTATATTCGCACAGCGAGAGCAAAGACTTATAGAACAAACTAGTAAGTTTCTTATTTTATTTTCTTATTTTTATATTATAATATAAGTATACTAATATTATTTCTAGCTTCCAGAGGCTCCTATTTCTCCAAAATAATAAAGGAATTAGCAAAGCCATTGAGAACTCAATAAAGACATATACATGATTAGAGGGCAAAAGATACTCAGGTTACAGAGTAATCTAGTAGGCTTAAGACCCCTGTAATTATACCACCTCTTAAATAAAAGAAGCTATAATTCAATATTATTAGAAGGCCAATTAATATTTCTAGGAATATATAATTAAGGGAAGAGCAAAGGCTTAAAGATAAAGATAATAGAACTAACGAGCTACTTTTGGATGCCCTTATTAGAAACACTTGCGGAGATAACAAAGCTCTAGATATACGAATGACTTACTAAGAAGTCCTTAATAATGTGAATATTAAGCTAGCTCAAACCAAAGAGCTATATACTTCACGTATAATTACTAATTTATACTTACTTCGGCAATATACCCAATAGCTTCTAAAGCTAGGATAATATTAACTTGGAAGGATTAATACATTACTTCTAGTAGCTTCTAGTAATTATTGCTTTAATAATAGAAAGATACTAGCTCGGCGAATTAGGGGGCTATTTAATTACTATTAATAGTAGCATGGCATTTCACAGGAAACTAGGGGTAGTAAAAGAGCTAGTACCTCCTATCTGGATAACGAGGATATTTTTTTAGCTTGCCATACTTGGTTAATTAATTAAGAGCTTGGAACAATATTACTAAACGATTTCCTGAATACCGTTAATTAGGAGATTTTACCCCAATTATTATTGATAATAGAAAAGCCTATTGCTCGTAGCATAGCTTACTTATGGCTCCCTAGGCTCGGCTTTTATTACCATGAGACTAAGAAAGGGCTTTATATAAATAGACACAAATGACCTAATATGATTCAGTATTATTAAGAGATATTTTTACTATTAATAAAGGAGCTTTTATTATATATAGTTTAATACGAGGAGGATAAAGCTAGTACGTAGCATATAATTTAACCTTTACTCCTAATTAGAGTTCAGGTATACGTAATATACTTCCATAATAAGAGTTATTTCCATGGATATGACTATAAAAAGAGCCTCTGGCTAGCAGATAGTCAGCAAAAAATGCCCGGAAAAAGTAAAGGGAGGCTAATTCACGATTCTGAATTCGTGGGCCCTAAAGGACGTATTAGGGTACCAAATAATAAAGGCATTTTTATCCCGGATAACCCCGATTTGGATATCCGCAAAATTATATATCCAGGCTCAAATAGGAACCCCTAGTAGGATACAAAACAGCTACTAGTATAGATTACTAGGATACTCAATATATTCAAACAGAAGCACCCAAACTATATAGCTATTCTAATATTCGATTAGTCCTCCGTATACGCTTTGCATGGCGAAGGTGCACTAAACGCCTTTGGTATAAATAAGGCACCAGGAGAAGTTAAAAAGGGTAATATTAAGGCCTATAGAAGGAATACGTACTTTTCACTAGAGTATATGATTCCGGGATTACAGGGCACTATTCAAGTCCTTTGGCAACTTAATCCGAATAGAGAAAGAGAGCCTAAGGGCATAAAATAGATTCTCATTAAGCGAGATTATAATATACCTGGCTTAAGATTTAAGTATCCAAAGGGTACTAAGTATACTGTACCCCTTAAATACTCTCCTGCTATTAAATAAACGTGCTATTTAGCTCGTATACTATCGAACCACCAAGACTTCTTTAAAGAGAAGTCCCAAGTTAAAGAGCTTATTATAGATCGGGGACATAAGGCTGTGTTTTTACCGAAGTTCCACTGCGAAATCAACCTAATTGAGATATACTAGGGATATAGCAAAACTCGATATTATCAAGTAAAGAAGGCTAGCTTCCCAGATACTAAGATTAAGGTAGTAGAGGCACTTGAATCTTGTTTGATTGAGACCAGTGTATCAAAAAAGTAATCAAGGTATTCCGAATATTCATGAATATTCATAATTAGCTTGAATAGAATATAATTACCGCAATGCTTAAATAATTTGATTAGATTAGAATATATAATCATGAATATTCATGAATACTTTGATTACTCTACACGTGACCATTGCACGTGATACGCTAGCCTAATTAAGTAGAGGTCCCACTCTAGTGTCTCCTTAGCGCCACCTCGCTGCCTAATTAGTGGGTCGAAAGCCTTGCAAAGACGATGCTAGATCGGGAGCCATACCTAATTAGGTTAGTATATCACGTGAGACTGTCACGTGTATAGTAATTAAAGTATTCATGAATATTCATGATTACCTCAATTAGAATCTGATTAGAATATAATTAGTGGGTATTTTTGATGAATAAATTAGATTACTAGCCAGTATTCTAATCTAATCTATTCATTTGACACACTGATTGAGACTATACGGAGATTTTGCAACCGTATATTCCGCTGGATAGATGTATATCGGAAGGGATTAAGTATTAAACAAGCTGCTTGGTATATACGGAAGCAAAAACGCCATAGAACAATATCTAAAAAGGTAATAAATAAATGGGATAATATACAAAAGTAAGGGAAAGAAGGTAGCTAAGTAATAAGTAAGGTTTATGGATTTAGTTCGGCCAAAAGTTAGCTTGAAACCTATATAATTAGGGCCCTACTATATATATAATATATATAATACCAGAAAAAGCTATATTTAGTATTTAGGAAGGTTTACTTAAGCTTATAGGGCTTAATTATTATTATTATATTAATAATAAGGCTAGTGAGATGCCGCAATCTCCCCCTGAAGTCCGGAATCACGTGATCTTGCGAGCAAATATATTAGCGTTTTATATGAGGAAAAATCAAAAAAGTAAAAAGGGTCCGTACACTTTGAACCTCGATTATTAATGAACCACAAATTATATTAAAAATCTGATTAATAGGTATTTTTCGCCTGGTTCTACTCTATAATCGCATCACTTAGTATTAATTAATTAGGGTTGTGGTTAAAAAGTTATTATGGGCGTAAAAGAGCGACCGTTTTGTCGCTTTTGGATCGGACCGACTGTATGCAACATACAGCCTTTGATCTGTGTGTAAATACGGACGGAACCTCACTTCCGTCTCTCCCTCCTCACGTCCGCGCATCTGCGCCGCTCGTCGAGACTCGACGCGTGCCTGCACGGATCCTTCTCGAAGGATCACGGCTTGTTTAATCTACAACTGAAATCCTTCCTGGTCCTAGCCTACAGATGTTATTTTGGGTGTGAGATTGGGTTTTGATTTGCATTCGTGAAACGAGGGGGGTTTTGAGCTGATGGTTAGATTGAACATCAGGGGGTCTGAGGGTTCGGTGGGATGTGGGGCTGGAGGGTTGCTCACGTGGTTTTAAAGTTGGATGTGGATGGAAGAGGTATATTTGATTGCACTAGTCAGAGGATAATTTGGAGTCTATTTTCTGAGTGGCTTGGATTGAGAGCATTTAAGACAAGGAGAGAGAGTTGGTATTAATGCTTGAGAGGGCGTGCAGGCGCTTGACACGGGACTAGTATTTCACATAATGAAAATAATGCAAAGTTGGCTCTCCGTTATGCACCGATTTCAGCTACGGGGCCTTCATGGTTTCCCTTTACCTCTCAATCGAATGCTGTTCTAGTTCAATTTCCAATCCCGAAACTTCCCCACCCCTAAAGCTTTCTCTAAACAAATGCACCTGTAGTAAGCGAATCTTCCTTTATAAACCAGATACCGGCTTATAAATAGAATCTTTAACTAAAGCATGTCATTACTTATACCCCCCCGCCCTTACAAAAATACTATATTTATATTACTAAGGCCCTGTAATGGCTGATATAACGGCATAATCTACCGGGAATAAGGAATCGGAAATAGGTCTAACGGAACTACGCCAAAAAGCTTGGGTAAAGTAATACTAAAAGTTCGAGACATTCCCCCTTCTTTACTCTCTAGCTTAGTATTTTCAATACATAAGATTTATTAAACTTTAAGCCTTTAACTATTGCATTAATTCCGCCATTATATAATACTAAGCTCACTCGACTTGGCTTATAAAAATAATATAATATTACTTGTAAAGAACTTGTATTTATTTATAGAAAGTAAAGATAAAATACTGCTTTTAATATTCGATAATTTCCTTGAACTATAAAGAACTAGAGAGCTTAGCTAGAAATATAGCACCCTTTATAACCTAGTTAATCTCGGAGTCTGGTTATTGGCTAGAGCAAATAATGCTTTCCTTCTAGTAATTAGTTCTTTACTAATATAAAAGAAAAAAGACTTTATTTTTATAACTCGATTAATCTCGAAATTTGGCCTTTAATTAAAGCAAATAACAAAACCTCGATATTAATAAAAGTAAAAGAACCGGCTCTTTCCTTATTATAAAAAGAATTAGTTATAATTTACTAATTTAAAATAGTAAAAAAAATAGTCGGTTTTAGTTTATTAACTTAAAACTAGATAAAATAATAATTAGTTATAGTTTACTAATATTAAATAAGAAGAACATATTTAGTACTTATCTTTATAGCCTATAAAAGAAAGTCTTAGTATAAGATAGCACTTTTCTTATATTTTGACTAGTTTAGACGATTTTAAAGAAAGGAGTACAACGGAAAAGGATCAAATCCTAAATAAGATACAGGAACTCGCCAATCATCTTATTAATTGCTTTTTCCTTCCGAGTAGCTCCCCTCGCCCGGGCAAGCATATATGCCCTACATAGCCACCGCCAGCTAGCGGCATCCACGCCACCGGCGCATAATATTCCCAACAACGCCCAAAAGAGTCAGAGTCCTGTGGCCTCGAAACTCTGCGGAGCCAATAAGAAACGATTGATATGCCGTCTGTAAAAGCGGTGAGCTTTGGCTTTCCTTTTCAATCCCGCAGCCTATTTTTTTCTTCCTACTTTCGGGCGTTTAAAAGCCACTCATGCTGCGACGCCCAACGCTTTCCTACAACCTGCATACCTAGGTATTTGATCTTCTTCACCGCTCGAAATACATTAATTGAGAGAACCCCATCAAAATTTCAACCACAACCCCCCAGAAGCACAGCTCTTCTTTCTCTTACTCATCGGGCCTCAAACTCGAGCGATCTTATATATTTTCGAATCCATTCCCGAAATAACATCTCCTCTCGAATTACTCAATTGAAGGACCAGCATGCGTCGAGTCGTGCTGGATGAAATATTCCCTCTATCTAGTAGCTTTGGGATTTGGTTGCTCTGTCTTCCACTTTTATTTCATCCTGCACAAGCGCAAGATATATGCACCATCCCAACACCGCTGCCCGCCTCTCAGAAGCCGAACTTCATGAGCTGCTTATCCACAATTCAGAACATGAGTCCCTATTGCCGGAGCAAGAGCGGATATTTTTATGACATGAATGCCGGCATACTCACATTCATCGGCTGTGAGGCCATGTGCGGTCAAGGCATTGGATTATGGGAGTGGAAGGACACATTTAATCGCCTTTGGCTCCTGGTTCTACCTACCGTCGTCCTGATTGCTCACCTTGCTTTCCCTCCTCTGGGTTGGCACAATTATGTTGTTGTCACTTTTCACGCTGTCGGCAACCCAGTGGGCAGCCTCAGGAGCCTTTTAACACGTTGCAACAAGCATCGACAGCTCCGCTGTGCTGCTAAGAAAAATTTTCCGCAGGAACTTCAACTTTCAGAGGCGGTTGCAACTGTTTTTGCAGCCTATGAAGAGCTCGGCTGGCATGACGTCTCGACACACTTCAAGGAATGGGTGCCGGAGAATCTTGGCTTGGAAGAAAAACTCATCATCACACGAGCAAGTCGTCAATTATCTTCCACAAGACTGTCGTCGACACTTTCAGCTAGTGTCGCGATTGTGACCCTGGTGGGGACTCTTGCGGCGGCTATTCTTCGAACTATCCAACAAATAGATGAGAATAATACCCGCGTTTATATTGATACAGCCCACACTATTGCAGTGGTCTGTATTCTCTTCATCTCGATCCCTCAGGTGTGGTTTAGTGCTAGACTTGGGACATTCACAACTGAGTCCGATGCAATCTACATCATAAATACCATGAACAACTCTCTGACTGTTAGAGCAAATGGACACGCGATTTTCCCTCCTATAGAGCAACTTGCGAGCTGTCCTTCACAGTCTTCTACCCGTGATCCATGGCTTTCCGGACAACTACGCACACGGCTTGAGTTATGGCTTTCTAGGCATGGCCTCTCGTGGCTCGAAGAATTCTTCACTCATTGTACTCTGCCACACGACAATCCCGAGAGCAGGATATTTCATCAGAACTCGCAGGAGAAGTCAAGCCAATTGAGCATCAATCCCTCTTGGCGTCCGTGCCCGCATTTTGATACAGATGGCAAACACCATTATAAGTTGTTGCTATTAAGTGTTCTCTGGGTCATCTCTGGGGCATGTCTTCCAGCAATCTTCCTGTCCGCAACAAACCATGCAGATACGAGGAAGATCGCAATTGGCTGCCGCTCCATGACATGGTCTATAATCATGGGGACTTGGCTTCTTAGTTTTGTGTCCGACAGCGTTATCCGATGGCTCATCTGCCGTCGTTACACCCGCCCTGATCTGATTGATAAAATCGCATTGATATGGCGGTGGACTGTATATAAGGATGCATTTGTTACTTTTGTTGTTGTTGTTCTGATTTTGGTTGTTGAGGTCGGAACCTACAACTCCTGTTGGTGTAGAGTATCATTCTCACACCCAGCGATTGTGAACATAATGCCTTATTCCCCCTCTCAGTGGAAGACAGCGCAGACTTTGTGGATCGGTCTTCCGTCGGCAGGGCTGGTCGTTAACTTTAGCCTCATTATGTGTGTTGAACTTCACTGGAAGGAATGGAATGGTAAGTACCCACGCCTTTCCCGAGAGGGTGGGAGTCCTCTATGCAAGAATAGGAAGGAAACGGAGAAAGAATTAGACGAATTGAACATGTTGGAAGGACGACTTCATAGAGAGCGAGAGCGAGAGGGAAGCGAAGTAGTTGAATTGCAACAATCTGGACAGGAATCTAACCATGGAGAAGATACAGAGCCGCAGAGTTTTTTGCTCAGTATTCTTAGTCTTACTGTACATAATGAGAGAGACTAGGGTGCACTTGATTAAAGGCCGTATGTGGACAAAGTTCCCCCAGCGTGCGGGCATGGTACGGCACGGTCGGGCGTGAAATTTTTTCTATTTTTTAAATCCCCAAGAATTGTATGTTCTTAAATTCACCGCCTCTCTCAATATCTATAGTTCTTTTTCGAGCAATTTGAAGGCACCACATTAACTTTGGTCACATCCACATAGGGATAGTCTACTATGTGCCAGCAACTGTGTCCTACGTCATTAGGTCAAGTAGTAGGTCTTCTTGTCTATCTTTTTATTACCATACTTTTCCTTAAGCTCTAATAACTTCCAAATTCAAGGGTACGCTAGGGTGACGCTTGTTGATTTCTCTCACGAGAATGAGAGTGGTCATGTCTAACGCGTATTCACATCCGGTCAACATAAAGAAAGCAATTTTATGTATTGTACACCGCAACTATCTCCATTTACAATAGTAACGGTCTCCTAAAAACAGAAAAGTACCATTAAACTACTACCACCTAATCCTTCACCACACATTCTCCACAACTTTATGTCTACAAGTGTTCTGAACTCAAATTTTCTGAGAGATCCCAGGTTGGATAGCCTCGAGTTAACGAACCAGCTGATCCCAAATTTTCTTCTATAAAGCCATTTCATCTAAGCTTATAACCGTCGGACCTGGCCTACCACTATATTAGCATCTCTCTTCCCGAAATGAAAGTACAAGAAAATTGGAGATTACATACTTTATAACTCAATAATTAGCCGTATATTATGGGAGGGAAACTGCGACAAGACAAAAACCCACATAAAGTATACCAGAGTACAAAACGTGACTTAATAGTAAAATAACAAGATTAAAGGCATAAATAGTAAAACATAAATAGTATATAGTATGCAAAAGCTTAATTAATTAAATATAAAGAAGGAATTATTATCTAGAACTATAGAAAAGCCAGCTTTCTTATATAATTTCCGCAAGTTATATATAAAAGGCTCTAGCCTTTATTATATAACTAAAATATTAAAACTATTAAAATAAAGCAATTTTAACAGAATATGGCTTGCTATATTATATCTAACTCCTTATTTATTTATACTTATTCTCTAAGTACTAAAAACTAATTAAAAATCCCTATTTAGAGTTCGAAATAACGAAATAGTTAGAATCTTCCTTTACTAGCGTTTCTAATTTCTTCTTAATATACCGAAAATATAATCTATTACTCTTAAATAGTTTTATTTTATACTCTCGAACTTGCTTAAAGATAATCTAAATCTGTTTAATTATATTCTTATACTAAATATAATATAGTTCTTCTTATTATTTAATATCTGCTTTTAATTATTAGTTAATTTCAGTCTTTATAGCTAGATACTAAAATAGCTTATTATAGCGAATTATATTATATATTATACTAATATATTTCAAATAAATAGCTTCTTTAAATTTTATATTACCTTTAATGTCCTTAAATTAGCCTTTAGTAAAAGAGAAAAGCTCTTAATAAAAAACTTTAATAACTTTATAAAAGACTTTATTTCTATATATTTTATTCTAAATAGTAATTAGGCTTATTAGAATTATAATAAAAGAGTTTTCGAGTAATAAATTATTATTAAACTATTTTTTAATTACTATTTTATTCGAGAATTATTATTTAACTATAATTCTAGACTTATAAATCATTTAATTAAAAGTATTTATTTATTTAGTTAAGTATTATATATTTAAATACTTTTCTTTTATTTCTTTTACTAAATATTTATTTAATTCCTTTATATTTTTCAAATTGAAATTATTATAAATAAAGAAGTAATTAATATTTTTAAGGACTTTTTTATTAAAGAAAGCTGCCTTTTTATAATTTATAAAGAAAATATAATTAATATTTTAATTTTTCTTATTAAGAGAGAACTTATTATTTAAAGTTTTAATAATAGCTAGATTATTAGTATTATTTTTATATTAATAGTAATTAATATTTCCAGAAATATAATATTAGATTAATTAAAGATAAATAACTAGATAAATAAAATATTTAGCTAATATTTTATAAAATTCAAGCTATATTTAAGAAGTTTGCTATTAAGAATTAAAAAACTAAAATAAAATAGCTATTATCTAGATTTCTATATTTTAATATTTTATTTTTTTTAGAAATAAAACTATAATATTTCTATTTTCTCTATTAAGAGTTCTCGAATATTAAGCTTTTTAATTTATTTCAAATAATTCTTTTTATAGATATAGCTATTTATATTTAGATTAGAAATACTAGATTTAGAAATAGAAGCTATAATATTAAATTAAAGCTATAGATTTGAGTAAAATTAATTAGAAATCCGATATTTAATTTTATAGTTTATAATTTTTTTATTTTCTAAAAAGAAATCCTATATTTTCTTATATATTTAGATAATAGAAATATATTTCTTATTTTTAGTAATTTTATAAATCTTAGTAACTATTTTCAAGATATTTATAAGCTTAATATTAATTATCTAGATAGAGAAAATATTAGTAAATTATTAAAAAAATATTTTATAAGAAATTTCAAGAAATCTATTAATAATTCTACAATATTCTTATTTATAAATAAGTTCTAAAATATTATTATATAACTCTTTAAAGATATAGTTATTCTAATAACTAAATATTAGCTTCTATTTAGCTAATATCTTATAAATATAGTATTTAGATATATTATTAATATTATTAATTCTTTTTATTTATTTTAGTTTTTAGCTTTCTAAATAATATTTATTTTTTATTTTTCTCTATTTTATTTTCTAATCTATTACTAATCTTATACTTAGATTAGTATCTAGATTTATATTATTTATTAGAAGTTTTAGGCTTGATTTTTTTTTCTTACTAGATTCTTAATTAATTATACTAGTTCTATTAGTTCTACTAGTAATACTAGTAATACTAGTAATAGGTTTTATTAGATTAGTTCTAGTCTTATTAGCTGAATCTAATTAAGTTATTATTAAAATTATAATAGAAATCTATTTTCTAGGCTTATTATAAAAACTAGAAAAAGGTTTATTATTATAATATCTTTTAATAAAAATTCCGGAAATATTAAAAGTATATTATCTAGCCTCAAAATTATTAACTAATAATAGCTTAAAAACTAATTTTCTAGATTTCGAAATAGCTTTAATATATTTAAATATTTTAGTAATATCTAATTTAGTAAATATACTAGTATTCTAATACTTCTTATTCTTAATATATTTTAAAATAGCTTTATTAATTAATTAAATAGCCTTATATATTAAAGCTTTTATTTTTTTTTAAAAATATAACTTTTTATAAATACTATTAATATATTAGCTAAAGGCTTTATTATATAATATAATTCTATTCTTATTCTTAGTTTCTAAACTATTTATTATAGGTTTAATTTATTAAGCTTCTTTTATTTGCTTTTAGTAATATCTTTAATAATATTCTCGAATTCTCTATTATTAGCTTAATAATTCTTTAGCTTCTCTTTAATTAATTCTAGTCTAATTCCGTTTTTAATAAAGGTTTTCTATTTTAAAAGCTTATTATATATATTACTTAGCTTATTAAAGATATTTGTATTAAATTTAGTAATTATAGCTATGTTTTCTAGTATTAATAAGCCTTTTATAATTATTTAAGCGCTTTTAATATTCTAAATTTTAATACTATTAATTTATAGGCTTTTAGTAATACTATAACTTATAAGAACTAGTTATTATAATTTATTAAATTAAGAAATCTGTTTTTCGGCTATTTTATTATTTTTAAAGAAGTTATTTAGATATTATTAATATAATAATTATAAGTTATAGAATTAAAAATTCTCGAAATTATAAGAATTTCTTTTAAATATTTTTTAAAATAAAAAAGAAATTAGAATAAACTTAAATTATATAAAAGTATTATATATATTCAAGTTTTTTTTTTCTAATAAAAAAAAATAAAACTGAAATAGTAATATATATAATAGAGAAAATAAATATAATAAGTAAATATATTTAAAATAATATAGTTATAAATTAGAAATAATTACAAAAAATAAAATATAGAATTAAGCTTTTATTATAAAAAAGAATACTAATATATATATTTAAAGAAATATAATTTAAGAAATAATTAAGATAAGTTAAATTAAATAATAATAATAAAAAAATATAAAATTTATAATATAAATATATTTTAATTTCTTATTTACTTAAAAAAATTTATTAATTCAAAAATAATATAAAGAAAAAGAAATAATATAGGAAATATATAAAAAATATAAAAAATATAAAAAATAAAAAATAAAAATAATATAATATATTTTTATTAAATATATAAATAATAAAAGATTATAAAGTTAAATAAATTAAAAGAGAATTGAATTCTACTAATAAATACTTTTAAGTATCTAATTAATATAAATATTATATAATTAGATATAAAAAAATAAATTAAATATAAATAGAATAGAAAATGTAATATATATAGGGTCGCACGTGACTTAAAGGCATATAACGAACCTCGGATATCGCAGGTATTAATTAGGGAGTTCGGTAGCCCTTTAATATCCTAACTAATTACTATTTATATTATATATATTAGGTTTATAAATTACTAATTATATATATACTATCGGGGCCTCCTATTTAGAGAGGGCTTCCCTGGATCTTACAGGAGAGACAGAGATTAGTTCTATACTAAATTTAATACTATAGTTTTATAATATACTAATTTATTCTATTATCTTATTACCTACTAATAAATATCTTATAAGCTAATCTCTTTACCCTTAAAGAAGGTAATTTAATAAGTAATTATATCTCGAAATCTGTAAAATATATAATTCCTTACTAAAGCTATTCTTATAGAGAAAGTCGACTAGATTAACCCTAATACGGGTAATAGTAAAGGCTCGTCTAATACTTTTAACAGGGCTCCTTAGGAGCCTCCGAGAGCCAGTAATAATAACGGAAATAATTCCGGTAATAATTAAGATACCGAGATTAATACCCGAGTTATTATTACCTAAGCTACGGAATAGGGCTTATATACTAAAGTCAAAGTGCTTTAATAAAAGCAAGAATTAGTAAATGTAATTAACTAATATATCCT